CGTGCCCGCGGTACCGCGTGCATAAATCCCAGCGGGCAGTCGGACTGTACTGGCTGGGCCACGCCCGCAATGCGCTGATTGGCTGGTCGCGCCGAGATGCGGAGCGCTGGTTGGCTAACTCCGTTACGCCCCGATGGGTACGGCCCGCGGCTGTTCAGTGGGGTACAGCTGGTAGAGGTGATGATATCGGTGGTCAGTGTGATCACGTTTTGGCTGCTGGAGTAAAAGACTGAGGCGCCACCAAACCGAGGAGTGACTGGTCGGATCGCGGAGAGTTACACGATTTTGATTAGTCTTTTACAATCTTGTATCTACAGACAAGACACCTGGCCAGATTCCGTTTCTTGATACCTCATTGGACCGGATTTGGTATGTCGATGACTTCGCGATTTGATTAAAAGAGAATCAGCCAAAGTCCGACATTCTAGGGCACGTATCTTGGACTAGAAGATCGTCGATCACTCCTAGGTTTGGTCGTAAACTAGATTTGGCCAACAAGTATTGTTACGATGACGTATTTGCGTATTTGATCATCATCTTCAGACACAATAAATGAAATTAAAACTAATTTTGCAAATCTACTATTTCTTGATATGAGACATTAATTTAATATAAAAATCAGATTTACCAAAAAATATCTACTGAAATGCGGGGAAGTATTTATCATCGGATCATTCAGGATTTCGGGCATACACTCCACAGAAGGTAGTTTTCTTGACGTTTCAAAAAATAGTTTTCGAAATAATAATAATAAAACCACGAAGAATTGCAAGAAATCTCATGAAAGGCATGCTCACCAGCTAAGGATTTACCAAGAGCTGAGAGATGTAGATGGCTTTTTGATAAGTAACGATGTATCGTATTAATTTATATCCAGGCCATTTGAAAGGTTTCAAGATCTGCATACTGCTGAAAAGTGACCGTCATATATGAAATATTCATAAAATTTTATCATACAATACCAATCTGTTTAACCATCTTATTAGTCTCTGAAGAGCACATTACTTTGTCCATTTGAAGCTTTACTAACAAGATGTTGTTCTTGTGTCCATTGAAGGGCAAAGAAGTTTCTTTTTATTGGGATTATGAAAATTGGCATATTTTGAAAATCCTAGGGGAGCAAGGGTTGGTTGGCAATCGGGATAGGCAGCCTAATCGGCAGAAACGCACAATAGAAATACTTATTCCTGCAAATCTCATATGTTAGTCATCAAAATCTTGGCGTTGCTATTAGACGCAGTTTTTACTACTCGTAATGGCTATTTTCTTACAGACAAGTGAATTTTTTTCGTAAAATTGTTACATCAGTATGAGTAGAAATTGGCAAGTGGCGGGGAGACTTTATATGATTTTGGATTTGTTTATCCATGATAGTGAGTACCAAACTATAAGTTAGGTATTAACCGCATGGGTATTATGTAAAAAAACCTATAAAATGTAAAAGACCTATAAAATGTCATCTTGCAGACAGGGTAGTCTTTAGGGTGCAGTTATTCCACGTTTGCTCACTAGGATCGTTGTGAGCGTCCATCTATGGAGGAATGGTTCAACTACACCATCACATGCGCTGTTGGTTGCATATGTTTTGTGAAGCCGAGTAGTCTATAGTTTTCATCTCTGAGAAGAATGTTGGTTGAATCGCAAGATCGAATCTGGATGATTGTGTGTATTGGTCAATGGTCTGCATGTGTATAAAGTCAGTGATATTTGCTGTATGAGAAAATCATTACTGAATATGCTGCAAATGAAATTTATCTATTAGCTGTGCCTGACGGGCTATTTATATGTTGTCCTTTCTGAAGACAGGTTATGTTCATATATGACTTGTAATTCGACAGTGTACAGTGAATATAATTATTTCTCATCTCTCTTTCTCTCTATTGAGAATCAGCAAATTTGCATATGTAATTTCCAGAATGAATAAGAAAAATTGGATGCACAACTAATGTCTCTCAAGTAAGTGTATTTGAGACAGGAATCCAATGGACTTATCATCAAGACATATCATTAGCACACAAAGCCTCACTATGCACCTGTGCATTGCCGTTACCTCCAGTAATGTCATCTCTGAAGTAGATTTTACATCACATCAGAGCCAAACATAGATAACTGAAGCGTTTAAGCAACACGTATAACTACAAAACGAGTTCACAATGTGTGCATCAGCTAGTACTAAGTTAACATCTACACAATGTCACAAAAAACCAATATAATGTCAAAAAATCGACATAATGTCACTTTTGAAAATACGTAATACCCGTGCCGCTCCGTGTCTGTGACAGTTCCAAACAATTATGTACAGTAGGTCAGATTCAGATCAGTCTAACACGTAACTAGGCAATATCACATTACACCTATTAATTTGTTTTGGTGACTGTATTTAACGGATGCGCATCTACTGCATAAAATATAATATTATTCTGAGGCAATAAACAGTAGTAGTAAAATTTTTAAGTTTTATAGGAAAAAAAATATAATCAAGATAATAAATGTGACACTTTATACAAACAAAAAAATACGCAAAACTAGTAAAAGTTAATTTCTGACTTCAAATAAAATCTCTACTGGCATACCTACTACAGCAATAAGTAAAGCTAAACCAACGAAAGTGCAGCTTTCTCATCATACTGAGATTCGCCAATAAAAACAGTTGTCATTTATTATGATGGTGCTTATACCACGACCAATCAACAAACAACTAGATAATAAAAATAGAAATATGATCAGTAGCACATGCGTCCGTGAAATATCAGTGGCGTGGCTTTCAATACTGTCAAGCTTAGAGCTATCTAACAGATCCAGCAGAATGCTCCAAATTGCTACTACTAGTAAGGAAAAACAAATTCATCATCATTTGATTCATATAATGGCAAGGTTTTGGGGGTGAATCAACCAAATCCCTACAAAAATGACTGAGACATGAGAATGTACTAAGAAGGGTTCATTGCAAATTGTTTACTGTTGTACTATTAAGACAAGTACTATTGATATGAGTTGCAGCGGGAGCCTACCCACCATGATGAAATGCTGTAATAGCCTTTGATGGTCCTGAGAGGTTGATGTATCGAGCTTTTCCGCCTAAGAGAGGCTACAAAAACTTACCTCTGCCTAAAAAAGATCGTCGCTCTAGAGCACGGAAGCTATGATATCTAAAGCTAATAGATATGTGTTTTTTGATGAGGATCTTAACCATCTGTCTATCTCGTAGATGAATAGTTCACAAAAGACAACGAAAACTGACTCTTCATATCTGATAATTTTTTTAAAGTAATATTGAAGCATATTTTGACATATTATGTATAGTCAGATAGAGATACTTAAGGCCTGAATTCTGTGTTAGACGAAGTGTAATCAGGTGAAACCACAGCACTCCTCTGCTTTCTACGTACGTACTTGCCGAACAAAACGCGTCCCAGCGTTCATCCGGTTTCGATGGATGACCGAGTTCTGCCAAAGAGACATTCTGATCGGCTGGTTGGAGTCCAGATCACCAAGAACCTTGAAAAAAGCTGGGCTATTTGCTTAGGGCTAAGAAGTACTTTTATCCGCATGACGTTCTCACTCTATACAAGGCCCAGATAAGGCCTAGCCTCGAGTATTGCTCACACGTTTGGGGTGCTGCCGCCCCGACTACATTATTTATGCTCGATGCCATCCAGAGGAGGGCTGTCCGACTGATCGATGACTCTTCTCTTCCAGACAGTCTCGCCACCCTTTCGCACCGGCGGGCAGTCGGCGATCTGGCTCTCTTTTACCGTTACACAAGCGCACTTTGCTCCTCAGAGCTCTCTCCCATGATGCCGCCGCGCGATGCGCCTGCCAGACAGACCCGCCTGACTTTGGCCTCACATTCTAATAGTGTCGAACTTCGTACATCCAGGACTGGCTGATCTCTAGGGTGTCGAGATTGTGGAACAATCTACAAGAGGAAGTTTTTCCCAGTTCTACTAACTTTAGGCAGTTCAAAAATCGGATCAACAAAATTTATTTGGGATCGTTATAGCAGCCGCGGTGTCCCGGCATTTAGGCTTCTGCCTGCGCGGCTGCTTCAGTATAAAAAAACGTCTTCCTCGGGGGTTATCCATTAGTGCTGAATAACCTGACACCCAAGATTATTGAATGAGGTTATACGAGCCAACGAAGTTTCTGTTACATTGGCGATAGACAGCTCACGCACTTCAAAATGGGACCTTGCATTGATAAAATGGTTGGGAGATGCAAATCAGTTGTTTGACTGCATCTTTCTCCTGTTTACATCCCCTACACAACGATCTGTCAGTGTCATGATATAGAGAATCAAATACGTCTAATTCGTAATGATATTCTCGATGCTTTCTATTCCACAGTTGAAGACTCAAGGGGATAAAGGTGTCATAATTGCCTGGAGAAGATTGACTTTAAACATTTTATTGGGACTCTTTACTTTATTGAAATTTTAAATATTTGGCTTAATTAGTTTGTTATTATCTTGTTTTTGCAACATAGTAATCACAGAATGAGAGAATCACTCCTTAAGGTTAGTTTAATGCGAAAAAAGCAATTTTAAAAAATGTTAAACTTGTGTCTTCAATTGTATAGTTCTGGAGTATGGAAGTAGGTACTACGTTTCAAAATAACAGATTGTCTCAAAGTTTGGCTTTTTCGTCCATTGAGTTTCTTGTAACTCAATAAATAGTCATCAAAACGCTAAATATGTCATTTTCTAGAAAAATGACAGATTTTGACAAATAGATGAAAAAAGGACCTTCAGAAAATCGCCATATCAAGTTGAATCTTCTTCATAATAATCTGACCACACATTTGTATGGAGGTACCTTTTTATCTGTAAGGCAGATGCTCGTGAACCGACAAAACCGCCTGTCGCCTTTCAGTAGCACCTTACTCTCCGTTCTCGTTGCGTGGTCGGCACCATCGACTGCACCTGTCTTTGTGGTACCTGCTTTCGCGAGGCGCGGCACCACGTGCTCGAAGTAGTGGGGGCGCAGCAAGGTAGTACCCGTCGCGAGTCCGCCGCGCTGCTACCGCGGAGGGTCAATGTTAGAGCCTAGTTCAGTGCCATTCAAGCAAGGTTGCGCCCGCTGATCGATCGCTCAACCGGGTACCACTCAAATTTACGCGCGATACGTCAAGTGGTTCGAACTTACAGACACAAAGACATTGTTTACACGGAAAGGTGGTACCTCCACCATGGAGACGTGCGTTCTGATTCCGCAAGAGTTCAGTTTGTGCGTGAGGAGTCCTCCTCTAGGCAGGAAACAGCAGGAACCTGAGGTGTCCGTTTGGTCTAACACGACTATTGCGCAAGGCTCTCTGTGCTATCCTTTCCAGGGTACCATCAGGATCGATAAGCTGGACGTCTATGGACAACTAGATGATGACGATGTAAGTACACAATTCGTCAAACAACTGTCAGTATCATTAGACTTATAAATAAATATTAATTGTAATCCGAAATTTAACACTGCATTGAATACCGCAGCATATCTATAAAGGTATGTCATTGTTGTTGTTAGATACCGATCGAACTACTTTACTGACGTTTCGGTTGCCCTGACTTTTTCAAAGCACAAACCCAAAAATGCATAATAGCTTAAGTTGAGTCGTTTTATACACTGGGACCCACGATACGTAAAAATAAATCGAAATTAAGGTAAAGGAATATCGGGGATGCTCTCATTGGGCAATTAAAATATTTTATCCAGTTTTTTCCAAGAATGATCGCAAATAAGCTAAACGTCTACAAAAAATTCAAAATTCATGTTGTAGATTGATTTTCAATTTAAATATGGTCATATTAGTTTATGTTCCGAACAGCTGAATTTGTTGAATATTTTAAAGTTGTACAAATCTCATTTATTATGCTATATTAACAAATTCCTACATACCTTAGTTCCTTCATATTTGAAAAATGAAATTGATATCTCGTGAGCATATCCACTCACGGAATATTCTCGTCACTGACACTTTAATTATGCCGCGACACAAAACTTCATTTCATAAATATTCTCCTAAAATCTTAAAAGTTGCAGTGATTAGACCTATATTTAAAAAAAGTGAACATGATAATGTTGAGAACTGTCGTTAAATTTCATTATTGAGCAATATATCTAAACTACTAGAAAAATCCATGTATCACAGATTTTACGATTTTGCTGAACAATTTCATATCCTGAATGTATGCCACCATGGATTTAGAGCTGAGAAATGCATCGAAACTGCTTGAATATGTTTATCGCAGACTTGACGAAGGTGAATATGTAGTATCTTTACTTTTTGATCTATCTAAGGCATTCGACACAATATACAGCAAACATACTTCAGCAAAAATTGTATACTGTGGGTATTAGACGCTTCTTCTTGAATTGGTTTATCTCTTACATTCAGGACAGAAATCTGAAAGTTAAAGTACAACATCTGGTATATATCCTGTTGAACATGGTGTACCTCAGGGATCTGTACTGGGACCACTGCTGTTCAATTTATACGTCAGTGATTTGCCCAGTCATATCTCAGAGGGATATACGAGTATAACCATGTTTGCAGATGATACCACTATAACTGTATCTGCAAAAATGTCAATCACCTTCAGTCCAAAATTCTAAGCGTATTCGATGAATTCTCTGCTTGGTGTCAAAGAAATAGGTTAATTTTAAATTATAATGAAACTGTTGTTATCAATTTTAACATCCAACGTACACTTGACTTAGACTTAAATATGTATGATCTTATTTTATCGGATTCTTGTTAATTACTTGGTACATATTTCGATTGTAAACTAAATTTTCATCACGTATGTAAAAATTTATCTAAAAAATATATTGCCATTTTACAACTTGAATATGTAGTAAATGAAAAAGCTATTATCAATGTATATTATAATGAAGCCACTTGACTCCTGCAGAGAAATTTTGTATTTACATTTTGAAATATGCAACTTACGTTAAGACGTTTAATAAACTGTTCCCAAATATTAATGCTCAACATAATTATAATACCAGAAATCAAAGTTTAAAGATCATCCAGACACATACCACGACACATTTCAAAAAATCACCCTACTATAACTGCATCAAATTACACAATAAATTACCGGCTGAAATACAGAAAATTAGTAATTATTTTCGATTTAAAAACCAAGTTAAAAAAATTATTAGCATCAAATGCACTTTATAACAAAAGTGAATATATGGAAGGTACAATCTTTACTACTTCAAGATGGAATTGAACATATGTATATGAATTGTTATATTTATATTGATTTTACTTGCATTTTTATACATTTTATTTACATTATCTAGCTTATTTATTTTTTTCACTACATGTACTATTCTGTATCTAAGTGGTTAATAATAAAGAATAAAGAATATAATGCGATCAACCTATATAGTGCTTTACCATCTACTGCTAAGCATGTTGATTTGAATAATTTCAAAAATCAAATTTAACAAATTATCATTGATGATCAAATCTGAATTAATTCTCAGTATATAGGTTATTTATATTTCTGCATATTATATAAATCTTTTACTAGTTTCTTTTTGCACACACATGTGTACGGTGTATTTAGTTTGCAATTTCCACTAAAATTGTTCTCAATACTTCAGTGCTAGTTTTTCAAGGGTTATTATTATTATTATTACTACTAAATATGAGTTTTACCGCTTTAGAGCGACAAAGTAGAAAAACACTCGCTACTAGTTGGGGTCGTTTCCTTGTCGTAAGAATGCCAATTGTGTAAAACGTTAACTATTCAAGCGCACTTTCCTAACTTGAAGTATTGCCGAGCTGATAAAAAATACCTGCTGAGCGGCAAAGCGGGTCTTTGCGCTTTCAAAGCGTAAGTAACTATTATGCAATTGGCCATTCAAGAAGAATGTCTTATTTTAAAAAGATTTACCTACATAAACTCATGTTCCATTTCCTGAATAAACCAATGAATAGGGAAAGTCCGACTATTGGCAGCATAACTAATATATCATAACTTTAAAAAATTGACTAGTAGTAGCTATCTCATGCATCAACAAATTCCTTGGCTTATGACAATTTATAGTTTCAAGAAAAAAGGTTACAATAGAAGCTTCTCGTTGCAGAGAGATTTGTTGTCTTAGATATTATTTGTACCAGATGTTAGACAAAGCAAAAAACGGATTTTTTTTTCAGAATGACGCTAGTTGGATGCTGATTAATACCAATCAAGGGGTTGCCGAGCGCTAACTTTGTGAACATTTGTTTAAGAATAGTTTTTAACAAAGTAAAAACAATTGTTTTTATCGCTCCAAACACCTTTACCTTTATAGAAAATTCTGCTAAAAACCAAGTTAGAAAAGTTTTCCTACCAATCCTAGGTTTTCTATACTAGGGACAAGATGGTACCTGAACGAATATTTTAATCATTTTCATGTCATTTTCTGGCTGGAGTACAAAGTTGCAAGTTGTATTTTTATCTTCAATAAACATTATTATTACGATTTTCGAAGCGAATACCAGAGGGTGTCATTTTGTCTTGTTCAAGCGCGGGTTTTTGTTGGCATATTTTGTTACTTGATTTGAGCATCATCTATTTCTGTCAGGTGAATGGATCGTATTCCGAAATAGGCACCTCTTGCTTCACATTATAATGTACCCGCAATATCGCCAACTCATTGATACTGTTTCATTATATCTGATTTTTTATTGAATCAGCCTGCAACGACATTCCTGACACAAGCTAATTAGTCGGTAAATACGTGGAAAATGGTGGAACTTATTAATATTAATCTTAATTAGTCTAACATAGTTTGTTTAATGAAGTAGTAAATGCATAATGCGCACAAACCAGTACATGGATGCATCTGGATTGTAGAAAAGTGGAGTTGGAAATATGAACGATGCGCCTTGGAAAATAAAATACATGGCAAAATAAGTCAGAAGCATATAATATGTATTATGTCTAAACAGTGTATTGATTTTATCAGACTCAAAAACATGAAATCGTGTAGAGTATACATGAAAATGTAATTTCAATTACACTAAAAGCACAATTACACTTTTACTGTAATACCTCCCTATATTGTAAGAGCGTTTTTTAAGTCTACAATACTTAAATATATATTTCTAGAGAGCTGTCGTATGGATGCTACTTCAATTCCTTCTACACAATCACTCATAGCTTGAGAAGCATAACGCCTGGATTAATATAGTACCTGCACCAATTTCAAGAGGTGATAGCTTGGAGAGTACGATTTGTCTTGTTGTTTTATCTTGTTTTGCAAAAACATTTGTCTCTGTTTAATTGTAAATCTGAAGTTGAGACAAACTTATTAACAGCGAGTTTAGGCAATCGCAAATAGCGTATACGTATAATGTCGAAATTTAAGTCATAAGAAGCCACTAGATTATATGCAATTGATAACCTTCACGTATGAGGTATTTGTGATTGTTACAAATTTAATAAAACCCAACTAATTCAAAGGGGGAATTTTAAAAATTAAATTGAGTGTAATATTTGGAAGGTCATGATAGCTTGCAGTTTCAATAAAGAGTCTGATGTGAGTGGCAACGAGACATTACCAGAGCAATAGTACCACTAAAAGGATCACTCTTGGAAATTTGACCACGTGCTTTAACGACACTGATAGACTGTTAGACTTCCCAAAGAAATACCTGCCCAGACCTAGTCTATCTGATTTGAAGAATGTGTTATAAAATCGAGCTTCTTTTGAAATAATAAATATTTAAAAGAATGAGTGAAACTTAAAAGGTTATTGATAGCAAAAAGTGTGATATATCTCCTACTTGCAACACATACACCTATATTAAAGCGCTCTATGAATTTGTTCTTTCAATACTAACACACTGACAAGTACCATCACGATGGAAGGGTATACATATATTGGATGAAGTGTTGTTCAGTTCAGCAAAGTCCATTTACATTTACCGAATTTTTGTCTGTCATAGTATCAGTAATGACTTTTCAATACATTGGTCTTTAAAGGGATTTTAACAGTTATATGCTGCGATTTGAACGAATGTAGTTGCGTTTTGAACCATATTTTCTACCAAAATAGGCTAAAAGCTGAATGCCGGAGGTTTCGAAAATTATGTACTCCCGAAAAGTTGTGAAAATATCGCGTACTGAGGAGGTATAATCCATACCGTGGTTGGGGAGCTTAGGAATTGAAACACATTTTTAATGTATTCTGAGGAATGTTGCTATATACAAATATGTGCTCTTTGTCCGCTCTTTTTTGTTGAAACTCATTAGGAGCTCTAAAATATCTTTTGGCTACCACTTGGTAGCAGTGTACTATTTTGTTGACAGCACAAAGTGCCATCTATTACCAGAATAGACCACTGGTACATGGCACTTTGTGCACTGTCTTATTTCGATAGACCGTATAACCCGGATATAAGAAAGCTGCCCAGCTTTCGTTCGTTGTCCCACTTGAGACCAAGCCTATTCCATGCTGATGAGTTGTCAAATAGCACTAAACAGCTGTCCATGGCTGGCCACCTGTTGTCGAACGAACCAAAGCTATATTACTAGTTTATAGAGGATACAGCTTACTATATGGTGTTGGAATGCTACAATTTTTAGGTTTTGAACACCTATTAGTCTTCGTTAAGAATTATAGGAACCGACTTTATTTATTTAACTACTTTCATTGTGCAAAATGCAACGATTCATATGGTCAGTTTATATGAAAAATTAGATTCCTGTCAGCGTATAATTTTGGAAATATTTGAAGGAACTGACTGTTTTATAAGTAGCTGTGTTTTGGAATTTCAACCCCAATTGATGTTATCTTTTATTGTAGATTTATCACGGATAATAAGAATTGCATTGTTTCCATTACCAGAACGTACATGATTCAGAATAGAATATTGATTTCTGGAATTTTCAATTTACTTCCGAAACTCTTTGGATTGTGAAACTTTTTATTTGCTGCTTTTTGACATACTTGTATGTGATCAAATGTTACTCCAATTTGACTAACTTCGTATCTCCTACAATTTCCGTTAGGGATGAATCATCGTCACCTTTTATCTAATTTTAACAGATATAATTAGAATCGAGGTTACAACTGATAAGAATCAGCCAATGGCACAAACGTTCGTTGCACTTCGTACTTTATCGTTGAAACACAACCCATATCCTTTTACTATTAAGCATTTGGATTCATCCAAAAAAAAAATCACTTTTGGTAGGACCCTAATATTGAGTAACAGTTTATCGTTCAATTAGCACTTAATATTGCTCAATGAGCGGACGACTCAAGCATAAAGGCCGTGGAAATACCGGAAACAGGATCAATAATGGTGATTTTCCTCGGAGAATAAAACAAATAACCGACGTATCAAATTAAAAACAACAATTATTATTAGTTACGATTTCAATATTTATGTTATAATATGCGAAATTAGAATGTTAGTTTGTAATTGCACTCATACATATAATCAGAGGCTTAATTAGCCTATCGGGAATACGAAGGCGCAAAAAACTGCGTTTGGTCATGCTCAGCCGGTTCACATAACAATCGAAAGAATATTGTGGACAAATAAAAAAGGAATCCATTGTATTCCAATAGCGAAGATGATCTTGACGGATATCGGAGAAAAAGTGTTCTAGGGTAAATCAATCGGATGGTGGACATTGAAGCTCTGCACTACACTGCACAATTCCTTATACATTCAAAAGGTTTATCCACAGATCTAAAACATATATTATATTATAAATGATCGGTTCATTTACTAACGATGAATAATTACTGTTGTTAGATAAAGAAACATAGATGAAACTTACTAAAGCCGTGGAGGTGACATTTTCAAAACTTTGTTATTGGTATCTTTTATTTTATCACTATGACAAAAACTACCTGACATTTCTCAAATTTACTGCTTGATTCAAACCTTAGGGAGATTTTATGTGCAGCTGTAAATCTGTTGCTTAATTTGGTTGTGTATTCCTTCAGATTATTCGAGTAAAAAGGCAAACCTAATAATATAATCACATGATTGATCGAAAGTAATTTCTTCCCTATATTAAATTTGCTGCGGTAATCACAATATGTATCGCCTGGTACTTGCTTTGGATCGTTCTCATCAGCTTAAAAAAATACTGCAGTATCTGCGTTCCTAAAAAGGCGTTCAAAATATTGGGTGAAATTAATCACATGTTACGTTGTGATGTTATACTGCAGCTCCATCTCTATCTGTATAGTACGCTTTTGGTGGCTAATCTGGTGATAAAAAACCTGATAAAGTGTGATACCTGTTGGTTAATTGAGTGATACATCCTTTTATATTGCAGCAAAAATAGTATACGTCCTCCATAATAAATCGTTCAATATATTTAGCTTAGTACAATTGCATAGCCAACAGAGGCAGGTATAGCTTTGCGTTAAGTTTGAATGTATCTTGAAGACATTTTCACACAGCTCAAATTGACTTCTTACTTCAGTGATAAAACAATATCTATAGAGACAAACTGTGCAAACTATAGCAGAATATGAAATATTAACTAAATAATCAATTTTTATGGAGGAGTGCGACTAGTTTATCGTTTACCTCAAGGCGCACAAAACTTTCGTGTTCTTGCAAGCATTAAAGGCACATTAAAAAATACTCTGCACATTCACCATAAAATGAAGTGATATGGTGAATGCGCATCGAAATCCTTACGTAGCATGTAGACTTTGAAGGTTTAAAACACAAAACTGTTAATTTATTTATGAATCGATTCTGGGCTGGTAGTCTGAAATCTTACGTACTATAATTGAACTGATCAGTGCAAAAGCCACTTAAGTCCATTTTTTATCAACATGCTTTTTTTAATTGAAACCTCTTCGTTAAAGGTAGATGGGTATACAACTCATGAGTCACTACATTCCTTTCCCTTCAAATAAAACCCGGTGATACAGATTTATCGCAAAAACATCGTAAGTTCGGGACTTACGTTCTTTTGTATGCACTACTCGACGGCTGGTACTTGATTGGGTCGTTACAAAAACAGTACCTAAAGCCCCGTACTGTTATATTTTCATACCAAAATATCAATTTTAACTACCAAAAAAAGATGACAGGCTTTATTCGCTTTGCGTGTTATTATACTTTTTCAGATATACAGAATTTGTTTCATTTACTTATAAGCAAAGAATCATATTTCCAGACAAGGGGCGATTATCTCAGAAAATCTGTTGTTTTTTAGGTAGTTGGTCTGCTGACAGCAGTGTTCAAGTAAGAAAGTTTGGATTGACTTTTGAATTTTCGTTACCCCCTACAAAATTTTCTCTAATGTCCATGCCTAAAACTGATATAGATTATGACACAAATATTAGGTGATGAGATGAAGAAAACAACTCGAATCGACAAATCTTCATTGAAATAAAAACTAAAACAAACACAACTAACTTAAACATTATCTTTTAAAATATTACCAGATAATGTTGGTATATTAAGATACATAAAAAAACAAAGGTAAAATTATTAATAACTCATTCAGTCTTATGTGGCAAATTTCTAAAAAAGATTTGGAATTCTGGTAGGCGTACAACTGGTGTTGGTTTTTACATAACGAAATTAAGTCGGAGTACTTCTTTTTTGATATTTTTAGTGGTTCCTCTTATTAAGCTGTTCTAGTTTATTATCATTTATATTATTACTCTTGCTTATCAGTCTTTTTAACTCAATACTTTCATAACTAGTATCATGGTATTTTGGTTTTCTTAACATAAATTACATAATACCCGCCCATTTAATATTATGCCCTTTCTCAGTTTGCCGTGTGGACAACATTGTTAAATCTTTTGAAACTCTGTTGCAGTCAAAAGATTAATTGGGATTAATAAATAAGGTTGACGTCTTCTGGCCAACCTAAAGACCGGATAAAGTTGTGAGGGTTCAAAACATCTCCAGCTCCCTCTATCGTAGTATGAATTGCACTGTGGGCGGTTTCTCCCTCACTTTGGCAATGATCGACCACTGAGCTGCGTATACTAACAAGGATTACTTCACTCTAAGATACCTATCTTCATTTAGGTCTCTTCGTGGGAATTATATATTAACCCTTGCAGATAAGACACCCAGGGGTTAATGGTGTGTTTCCTCTTCGTCAGATTAATCGGCATGGAATAATACACCTATGTAAGAGGGATGTCTTTTAAGTTTTGCATATAGAAACATAGTAGGCCGCGCGGATCGAACGTCAGTACTGATCTCAATCTCACTTTTTAGTAAACTTAAATTCAAAGTTTCACAACAACAATACGTGCAGTATTCTCACTACAGTGAATTTTTAAGCGTCACCAAGTCATTAGAAAAATGGAACTCAACCGAGAACATTTTCGCGCCATAATTTATTACAACTTTCAGAGAAAATTATCGCAACAAGAATGCCTTGCTGAGTTACTGTCTGTTTTCGGAAACGAAGCGCCACATCAGTCGACAATTTCCCGTTGGTATGGAGAATTCAAACGTGGACGGGTGAGTCTTAGCGACGATCCCAAGGTGGGTGCACCAAAAACGGCAGTCACCCTGGAAAACGTCGATGCTGTGCGCAAACTCATCATTCAAGATAAACATGTGACATATCGCGAGATTGAGGCGTCCTTGAATATCTCAAAGACCTCAATTAAAAAAAATTTACATGAAGAATTGGGTGTAAGAAAACTAGTTTCTCGTTGGATACCCCACCTGTTGACTGAAGAGCAGAAAGCAGCCAGGGTTAATTGGTGTCAAAAGCGCTTGACCGTTTCAATTCCGGAAACTCAAAAAATGTGTACAGCATTGTTAGTTGTGATGACTCGTGGATTTACTGTTATGAACCAGAAATTAAGCGACAGTCGGCTGTTTGGGTGTTCCAAGGTGAAGAAAAGCTAACAAAAGTCATCCGTTCTCGAAGTGTTTCGAAAAAGATGGTCGACATTTGTGTCAAAAGCGGGACATAAAGGGTGTCCCAAAATTAACGCAAGATTTGAATTTGCCGCCATTTGTGCAGTGAAGTGTTGGCAACCCTGAAAAAAAGCAATTTGACAGCTAACAGTATAGGGTTATGAAAAATGGAGCGTTACACGATAGAACAACGTGTCTTCATTATTAAAGAATATTTCAAAAATAGTGAAAGCTTGGCGGCTGCAGTTCGAAAATTTCATACAAAATATGGCCGGAATAGTGTTTTAACTTCGTCAACTGTGAAGAGATTAATTGAAAAATTCATGGAGACTGGATCCGTTGGAGACGCCAAACACACTGGTCGTCCAAAAACAAGCCGTTCAAATGTGAATATTGAAGCAGTGCGTGAGAGTGTTGCGGACAATCCAGGAACCTCAATTCGACGTCGTGGACAAGAATTGCAAATGTCAAGAACCTCTCTACAGCGTATACTCACCAAAGATCTGTGTCTTCATGCTTACAAACTTCAATTAACACAACAATTGAAGCTTAATGACCATGCAGAGAGAAGAGAGTTTGTTGAATGGATTATTGAACATCAACAAATGGACCCTGATTTTTCAAGCAAAATCATCCTAAGCGATGAAGCACATTTTCATCTTGATGGCTTTGTCAATCGCCAAAATTGCCGCATTTGGGGTTCGGAGAACCCACGTGTGATTGTCGAAAAAGAAATGCACCCACAACGCGTGACTGTCTGGTGTGGATTTTGGGCTGGAGGCATAATTGGGCCATATTTTTTTGAAAATGATGCTGGTCAAGCAGTGACTGTTACTGGTGCTCGATATCGCGACATGATTACACAGTTCTTTCTGCCAAAATTAAATGATATTGATGTACCCAATATGTGGTTTCAACAAGACGGTGCCACATGTCATACAGCCCGTGAAACAATTCAATTACTGCATGAGACATTTCCCGGTCGTGTACTCTCTCGTTTCGGTGATCAAAATTGGCCTCCTAGATCGTGTGATTTAACACCATTAGACTTCTTTTTATGGGGTTATTTGAAATCACAAGTCTATGTCAACAAGCCCACAACCACCCGTGCATTAAAGGAGGAGATTCAACGCTGCATCAACGAAATTCAGCCACATTTATGCAGAAGGGTCATGGAAATTTCGACAAAAGAGTGCGCATGTGCATGCAAAGCCGAGGAGGCCATTTGTCCGATGTGTTATTCCATACATAACCCTATCCTATGTACTTTATGAGTCAATAAAAATATAACTATTAAAAGACTAAAAATGGCATTTTCTATTTAATTCAAATCTTGCGTTAATTTTGGGACACCCTTTATTATATACCACCATTTCTTTGCCAAAAGTGATCACCGAGCATCGAAAAATCAACCCCGAAAGAAGAATCATCCTCCACCAAGACAATGCAAGCTCGCACACAGCCCAAAAAACAACGCAGTATTTAACGGAAGAAAACGTGGAATTATTGAACCATCCTCCATATAGTTCCGATCTAAGTCCTAACGATTTCTTTACTTTGCCGAAAATTAAAAACAGACTGCGTGGTCAAAGATTCTAGTCACCAGAAGAAGCAGTTAACGCATTCAAAAATGCCGTTTTGGATCTGCCAGCAAACGAGTGGAATAAGTGCTTCGAAAATTGGTTCGAGCGCATGCAGATGTGTATTAATCTTCGTGGAGAATACTTCGAAAACAATAGTCATTTAAAACTACCTACCGTGTTGTTTTATTATGTGGGTTATCTCAATTTTTGGTGTTTTGTCAGTTAGGACACTTCGTGAGAAAGGCGACGAGATATACAAAAATGTTTTTTATAAAACACAGAAGTCCTAGGAAGTGCAAGAATGCTTTGAAATATCTCGAAAGCCGTTCTTCATTGACAAGTCTTCAATCTCTTGATAGCTTTTGAGATACCAATTTTACTGCCGACGATAGTTTTGGACAATATACCTAATTAACAGATTAATAGCTTGCAATAAACATTGAACCAAATAAAAAGACATACGAATTGGGAAACGTACATTTACGATACCTGTATTCCGCAATAAACAATCCGAATAATAGAGAAAAAAATATCGTTTACGCGACATGGCTCATTTGCTACCTGATATATAATGCGTCGTTTCCTCAGCACTTGAACTTGAACATGATATCCATCTTACGGACCTCTTTTCATGCTGATTGACCTTGTTTATCTATCGAAACCTTTCAGCTGGATCGGAAACGTACGTATCGATTTGATTTATTGGGCTTGCCATTAAAATGAAATGATTTGAGTCATCTTGACGATCGCCGATAATGTATTTTTCCTCGCAATTAATGATCTGAAACATTTAAAAAGTTTTTTGTCAAGAAGTAAACAATGGGAATAGTTCAGAAACCTAGTGTCTGGAAAAATCTGTCTGATGGGTAAATCTTTAGATCCCTTTTTCACACTTAGACAAGTGTCATTTTTTCGTTCAAGGTGAGTCGACTTAAACCTTCAAATTTGTTGATCGTTCTTAGCTTTTCAGCTGGATATCGATTTGATTTATTGGGTTTGCCATTAAAACAGGTGTGTAAGATCAATTCGAGTTATCAAAGCAACCAGTAAAGTGTTTTAACATGTAATTCAATAATTAATCTGAAAACATTAATAATGACTTGCAACTTAGAAGAAAATTCGCAAAAACCGAGAAAATAGTATATTGACATGAGTCAGTTCAAAAACCTGAATTCGGGTCTCAGAAAATATTTCTTGTGGAAAATTCATACCCTTTGGACCATTTTTTATATTCTAGTCCTATTATCTTTCAAGATTCATTTTTTAGTTTAGGATTTCCAATCTAGATAAACAACAAATAGTTGTAGCTGTTTTCATTGACCTAAAAAAAGCTTTTGACGTAGTAAGCGTAGACATTCTTTTAGATAAATTGTTTAAAATGGGATTTAGAGGTGTTTTGTACAGCTTGATTAAGTCTTATTTATATGACAGAAAACAGTACATAAAGCTTGGAGACATTGATAGTGAATGGTTATCTAGCACCTATGGAGTACCACAGGGGTCAGTTCTTGGACCTCTGTTATACAGTCTTTATGTACTGAATCTCAAGTTGGCCGATCTGAGGGGAAGATATTTTACCTTTGCAGATGACACTGTACTGGTATATACTGGAACAGACGAAATTGCTTTAACGAATCTTATTAATGATGACCTGAATAGTTATCTTAAATGGCTGTTTTCGAATAGATTAAAAATTAACATTGAAAAAACAAAATACATTATATTTAAACAAAAAAATAAGATAGTTAGCAATAATCTAAATATTAACATAAATAATATAGCGCTAGAAAAAGTGTCAAGTATTAAATATTTGGGATTACTGATAGATGAAAGTTTAAATTGGTCACTTCACGTAAATGGAATTTGTGATAAAATAGTTTCAATGCTATCTGCCTTATATAAGAGTCGAGATTATTTGTCCAACAAAAGCAAATTTCAAATTTATAATGCCTTCTTTCTTACACATTTTAGGTACCTCTTGCCAGTATGGGGTATGTGCGGTGAAGTTAATTTTAATAAAGCTCAAGTTTTACAAAATAAAGTTCTGAAAATATTGTTTAATTTTGATTGGCTTACAAGTTCTAATACACTTTATTCAAATTTAAATTTAAACAAATTAAGAGTGTTATTGGAGGTGGAACAATGTAAACTTGTTTATAAAATCATAAATAATCTACTAAAAAGTAACATAAATATTAGGTTCTACCATAACGTGCATGATCACCAAACAAGATCACTAAATAATGTTTATCAAATTTCCACAAGAACTAACATAGGTTTAAAAAATCCGATCACAGACGCAATTAAGAAATTTAATAATTTACCTCATTGTATAAAAGATTTAAATAACTATAGAAGTTTTGTTAGAGAATTGAAAGATTGTAAAAATGTTAATGAATTTATTTGTTGAAATTATGAGCAACATTGCAGTGTACCTGTAGTTCATATATATTAATTATTGTCTTGTTATTCTCGGGGCCAGTGTTTGCAAACACTGATTAGGGAATTATTGTTATAACTGTTATACTTTTGTATTATTGTGTTTAAATAAATTATTTCAAAAAAAAAAAAAACGTCTCGTTTTGATTTGAGACAAATGTTAACGAGCATTTGCGAGTTTAAAAAATGTATTTTGGAAAGGGAATTTAGAGAAGGAAATAATTACTACTTGTGCAAATATAACCAGAAAATCCAAACTTATTCGGAATAATTACAATACAGAATGCAATATTTCTTTCTAAGAAACACTAAACTCATTTTTGTTGAATTGTTTGAACAGCTAATTCAAGTAATTTTTAAGTATCGGCGAGAAAACGCTGAACTTTCACTTCCGTAGTAGTTCAATGAAATAAAAATTGATATTGGTTTAGGAATAACTTTGGAGAAGTTCTAAAGACATAATTGAATCATTTTTCGTTTTGTAAATATAACCAGGAGAGTTAGAGTCGTTGGGAAAAATTATGGTACAAGTTAGTTTGCATTACAATTTTCATTAAATGGTTTCAAAAGACACGAGACATACAAGTACGTTTTTCGTAGCAGTAAGAAATCGCAAAATTTTGTTTTTTGTAGGAGTTCAATAAAAGCAAAATTGACATTGACTTTAGGAGTAAATTAAGTTGCATCATTGTTCATTTTGAAAATATAACCAGAAAATCTCAAATTGCTGGTAAACATTAGGGTACATTCCTTTCTAAAAATCATTAAATTCGTCCCGCGAATGCAAGTACTCTTTAAGTACCAAGAAGAAAGAGCTAAAATTTGCCATTCATAGGGGATCATTAAAAAAAGGCATTGGCTTTAGCAGCAATAACTGTATCATTGTTTATTTATACACTACATCCAGAGAAGTTAAAATTGCTGGGACAGGTAGGATACAAGGCAGAATCCACTATTTATTTCTAAAATTTGCCAAATCCGTTCCCCTATCAAATACAGTTTGGGATCAAATTATTGTGTCATAAGCCCTATGCTGGCGAATATCTTGTTGGCGAGGTTCTTTTTGAATACCAGCGAAAAGAGTTGAATGTTGAGTTTAAAAAAAGTTGATTTTGGCTTTGCGAGCGAATTAAGAGAGAAGCTTTCGAAGTCATCACTACCTCATTGTCCACTTAACTGTATGCAGGAGAAAAACCAATCGGCTTTTCAAGTTGCTGGCGAATACAGGTACAACTTCGTTAAGTACCTGTATCCTGAATAAGGTTTCCAGCTGGGTGCATCACCTGCCGCCTCACGATGGCGAACGCACGCCAAAAAAAGGGGGAGCAGCGGGGGCACATGCTAATTAATTATGGAAGATCAGCCTCTGCAGGGGGCAACCCGTTCAACATCACGGCGTCTAAAGATGAGGTTGCAGCGTGCCCTAATGTAGGCAAATACTTTAGAGCAGTTGTTTCCAAGCTTCGCGGGGTATATATACAACAACGCAATAGTCATAATCATAATCACAATCACAGTCATAATAGTCATTTAAGAAAACACTTCATTAGAACCAGAACAGGTAATGGACATAACGGGTGTTTTTGTAAGAGGTATAGGATTTGATTTTCAAAAAATTTGAAAAAACGATTATATCTTTATTTGAGTCGATAGAATGGTCGATATAATTTAATGTTTAAAGAGTATTTCATGTGAATGTTGGCTGCAGCTCCGCTTTAGATGGCCCATGCGCAAGGTCCAATTTTGGCACACTCTCTCCAACATATCGGCGGGTATCTCACGAATAAATGCTTCAATATTGGCTTCTAGTGCGTCAATCGTTGCTGGTTTATCCCTGTAGACATTAGCCTTAACATGGCCCCACAAGAAATAGTTCAACGGCGTTAAATCACACGATCTAGGCAGCCAATTGACGGGCCCCAAACGTGAGATAAACTGTTCACCGAACTCGTCTCTCAATAGGGCCATTGTTTCGTGTGCGATGTGGCATGTGGCACCGTCTTGTTGAAACCAAATGTCAGCCAAGTCCAGCTCTTCCATTTTGGGCAAAAAAAGTTTGTTATCATCGCACGGTAGCGCTCGCCATTCACAGTTACGTTCCGGCCATTGTCGTCTTTGAAGAAGTACGGCCGGATGATGCCACCGGCCCATAATCCACACCAAACAGTGATTTTTTCGGGATGCATTGGTAGCTCTTGCAATGCTTCTGGCTGGTTTTCACTCCAGGTGCGGCAATTTTGCTTGTTAACGTACCCATTCAACCAGAAATGAGCTTCGTCGCTGAACACAATTTTTCGATAAAAATGTGGATCTTCCTCCAACTTTGCCAGCGCCCATTCACCAAACTGGAAACGTTGTGGGAGGTCGTGTGGCTTCAATTATTGCACCAGCTGTATCTTATAAGGTTTTACACCCAAATCCTGTCGCAAAATTTTCCACGTAGTGGAGTAACAGAGGCCCAATTGCTGCGAACGGCGGCGAATCGATATTTGACGGTCATCACTAATACTGGCGGATACAGCCGCAATATTTTCTTCAGTCCTCACTCTACGTCTGCGTGTTGGTGGTTTAATGTCCAATAATGTAAACTGGGTTCGAAATTTAGTCACAAGCTTCCGAATAGCTCCCTCAGTAGGCCGACCAAATTGCCCATAAATTGGAAGCAGTGCTCAATGCACTCTCTTAACCGAGCATGAATTTTGATAGTAAAATTCAATAATTTGCAAGCGTTGTTCGTTCGTAAGTCGATTCATGGTTAAATTATAGACCAAACTGAACAAGTTTGACAATGACACAAGACACGATTCACGCGTCATCTGTCAAAAACAGTGTTGCCAAAAAGATACTAGCCAAAAAATCACCCATTATAAGGTAATGCTGGATTTAAATCCAATAAATTTTTCCCTGGAAGGGAAAGGGTTTTATTGACGCGTTTGTCTTATTCCTATCAATATAAAAATGCCATTACTTTTCAGTTCATCATTGCAGCGTGTTCTAATGTACACAACTAATTTAGGCCAGTGGTTTTCAAGCTTCACGATGCTATAAGCACAGTCATAAAATCGCTCAAGAAAAACAGTTTATTAAAACCATAAAAGGTAATGACCATATAGATTCCCAGATTTAAATCCATTTAATTTTTCCTTCATTGACACATTATAAAAATGCCATTACTTTTCAGTGTATTTTAACCATAAGATTGAAGAATATAACGAAAATTCATTCTCTCGATTATGTTAGCGATGATCAAGTACCTGGAATGAATAAATAAATCAATATTTTATTGTTCCAACAGGCTCCGATGTTGCATAGGAAAAGTTAACAACACAAAAATACTAAAGAGCACATTAGAAATACTTCAATACTTCTAACAAATCATCGTTAAGAGCATTATGAAAAAAAATACGTTGAAAATAACAAATAACGTACATTATTGAGTCAGAAATCTATTGACGCTGTTATAAGCTTTATCCACAAAATAATTTACAACATTGTTTACGAATTTTACAAAATTGTCAATATCTTTAATGGTTTTGCTTAATTTGTTATATAACTTAATGGCTATATAATTGAGACTTCGTTCGTTTAAATTTAAATTATGATTAGGAACAACAAATGCATGTTTATTTCTTGTTCCATAATCACGTAGTTCTTTGTAAAATTCTGTGTATTACTTCTGGTATGAAAAATCGCTTTAATCATATGAATAGATGGCAAAGTTAGAATGCGCAG